CCCATGCAGAAAACAGTCGAATTCTTAGTAACCCCTGAAGCTTGGGAGAGGAAAGGAGTGCTTCAGATCCCCGGAACTGCTGCACAGAGGGCAGGAACGCCCACAAAGCCCGACTCCACCCAGAGGGTTAAAGTTTCCGTGCAGATGGTCATTGCACCATACCAGGGAGTGTACTCGGTGGGAGCTGCAGTCCACCCGATCCAGGAAGAAGGAACGTGCCTGGTGGGAGCCACAGCCCACCCAATTAAGGAATACAAAAACTGCTCGGAGGAGCCGGTAGCAAACAGAACTGAGAAGAAAGGACTGAAAAGTTGGGCCAAAAAAGCGTTCCAAGGAAAATGGAAGCATGCGGACAAGAAAGCGCGCAAGTAGGAAACAAACAAGGGGTCGCTGGACTCATCGCTGGGAGCAAGAAAAGAAAAGGTAAAGAACCTCTAAGAAAAACAATAAAAAGCCCAAGCCACATCTGGAAAAAAATAGGACACGTAAAACAAGTCAGGCCTATTGAAACATGTCGTGTTAAAACCAGTGCAATAGCAGCCTTACCAACATGGAAATATAAAGTAAATGCCTTTAATACTCAGAGTAGCCATACAACTGAAGAAGAAGTGCAGAATATGTTGTTCCAAGCACCCAGAACTGAGATATACAAACCGGCCCTGCTTGTAAGAGGCCAAGTGGTGGAATTAGATAGACCAAAGAAGGACTTTTCAAACTTCCTGGCAAAAATGAGGAATTATTATAATTCACATTTACAAACATTTAGAGAAGCAGATCTCACTAGAGCTAGCCACAGAGTCCCTGGCCTAACCCTGTTAAGTGATAACTTAAAATTCCCATATAACCCTAGTCCGATGGGAACACCATGGATCTTTAATATGGTCCAAATGGAAATAAAGAATAAATCAGTTACACTCAAGTGGGGCCCAAACTATGAAGAACCTCACCAAACAGAATACTGCGAGATCTCGCTGGGAGGACTGATAATCTGGGCTACGAGCCCAACGCTGAGAACAAAAATCAACAAGAGAATAGCGGAACCAGAACGAGTGGTGATTGAAAATACCCAGTTACCCCTGAAAATGTTGTATGATCGAGTCCAAACTCCACTTGACAGGTGGGGTTCACACCCCACACGAGCGGCTAACAGAATAAAAGTATCTTACAGAGGACACCCGCTGATCAGCCTGACAACAGCGCTGACAGAGATGGGAGAAGCCTACGACCAGCATAAGGCCGCAAGAGAGGAGCTGGTGGAGCGAGTTATGGGAGAAGCAATGGAGAGATATGGTGATTGGGATGAAATGATTAGCTATCTTGGCGATCAGCTTGAGCCAACGGAGGGACCCCTAGGAGAACCCTCTGAGTGGTCAGTCAGGCAATGGAAGTGGGTGTGGCGAGGTTTAAGACCAGACCTACACCACCCCTCACCGCTCAGTGTAGAACTTTATAAAGGGCGAGTAACGAATAGAGATCACAGAGGACCTGGACCCGAGCAGCCCACGCATCCGATCTACCAGAAGACAAGATACCCTAAGCGAGCATGTCTAATCGCACCTTCACCAGGGGCCCCGTACGTGAGGAAGATATTATAAACTCAAAACGCCTTAGCGCTGGAGTAGCCAACATTTTGATCCAGTGCAAACAAACTGGCTCCAAGATACCAGCCTTACAAACCACAAATGGCATAGTATGGCTTGACAAACCAAAGTTCAACCTCCCTAATTATACTAACCACTCGATAAGCTATTTCTACTCAAACCGCCAGTACAAAAGATGGCCTCCCCTGGAGGACCCCCCAAAAGGAACAGCGTTCGGAGGAAATACATCTCCCCAGATTGTCCGTGGGGACGTATCCCCAACCTTGTCCACCAACATCTCCATGGATATTCAACGTGGTATACCTGACCCTATGGGGAAAAGAAATGAAGTTCAGATGGGGACCTAATTACCACGAACCATATCAAAGCCGCTTTTTCGAAGTGTCGATAGGAGGCATAATAATCTGGAGCACAAGCCCACAAATGGTGGAAGCCATAACCAGAAGAATGGAAAACCCAAATCGGTACGTAATTGAAAATCAACATCTGCCTATAAGAATTGAAAGACAGCGAATGCTTGAGTCGGATCGCATACTCTGGCCTTGGACAGAAGGTGGTTATGCAGTACGAGTCCTATATCAAGAAAGCCTCTTAATAATGCAAATAGAAACATTAGCGAATGTGTACAGGCCAGACTCCCCTATGGACATGGAACATGGCCCAGTCATGACTCCATATCTACCCAAACGCAAAATCAAATGTTGGCAGGTAAGACAATGGAAATGGGTGTGGAAAGGACTACAACCAGGGCTGCCACACCCTTCTCCTATATACCTGGAACTCCTTAAAGGACGAGTAACGACAGCCCGCCGACACTCAGAGCCGAGACATCGAGGACAAAGGAGCAAGGGCCCCTCTCGAAATGATTCACATGAGAAACAGAAACTCTAACAGTGATGATCCAAGTAGCGATGAAGGCGATGATGAAGCGACCCCAAACCGACCTATGGACCGTCAAAGGATTACGATTTTGGATAAAGCAACTTGCCTGCGAACCCTGCTGCGGGGACTCGTAGTGTTAATAGGCTTAGCAATGTTGTTGGTTATCTTATACCAAGCCGGAGTCAGACCCTGGAGCCTGACACATGTGGCAGTTGCCCATGGAAAATCAAAATATGCAGACATGAACTGTTGGGATATCGCTACACAGAATATTTCCTTGCCATGGAATCCGGCAAAGAGCACCCAGAACCAAATAGCAGCTTGGAATAAAGTAAAGAAAGAGGGTCATCAGGCCTGGATGAACAGACTGAAAGTCACGGCAGGATGGAGCGCGGCATTAATGGCCGGAAACCTAACAGTAGCAGACCATTCCACCGAACCAGAATCTGACGGACCCAATTGGGTCGTCACAAATCTAATGATACTACCAGAGAAAAGAATCATCGGAATAGCAATTTTAAAAGATCAGATCAAACGATCAACAAGATGTAACTGGATACAGCCCCAAGACGGAACCCCCGAGTGGCATTGCGATTGGATATGTCGACCGTTGATTGGATTAAAGCATCAAGGGTACTGGGACCGAGAAGTAATTCTTCCGGCCCCACCTAAAAACGACAGCTGCCAGGCAATTCTCCCTTGTCGGGAGTTCTGGGGCGACATCCACTTAGATTGTGACCGGATCCCCCCTCTCATTCGAAGGAATCACACAGGTAAAAACCTGAATTCGACCAATAATAAGGTAATCCACACAATACGATATGAAAGAACGCTAAAAAAAAAATGCTACAGACTGGGGATCTAACAGGCGCCCTACACCGCCTCCCCATGCCACGGTTAAGGTCAAAACGAAGCAGGTATATCAGTACCAAACAACAGAGATAAATGGGATAAAAATGATTGCCAGACCTGACCTGAAAGAGCAATGTATAAAGAAAATGAATAAGCTACCATATTGTTGTTGGGACCGATATTCTGAATGCCAAACTCAAAATTATCTACCCATAACTCCAGTACAGAATCAGCGTTATTATTACTGGAGTTGGGCAGCCATATTCCACCCACATAATGCCTGGCATGAGAACTGGTTGAATGCGACATTACCATGGGTCTGGATTGCGTCTGGGCTGACTCACTTCGAAGGTGACTTCGTGGAGGGGTATGCCAGGACTCATGAGGGCCTCATGGGACCATATTATACAGACATGTATATACAGAAACTACCAAAACCAGATGAGCTTCTCAATGCACCTAAGGGCGATTTTGACAAAATAGACAAATGTGTAGCCGAGCGAATTTTTCTTAGTCTTAACAACTCGGTGTGGCAGAGTAGTGGAGCGTCGCCTAGATGTAGATTATGGGAGACAGAGGTCGCCGTTATGTCCACATGGCGATATGACTGCACAGAATTACGTAGACAACAAACGGTTAAGATCTTGCTCCAAGCATGGCATGAATATCATCAACGAGATGACTCTAGAACATGGTGGGGGTTTCAGGAAGAAGAAATTAGAGAATGGGTAGCCCCATGTTTGCAACTTTCAAATATCTACTGGATTAAGTATCAGTATTTGGCCACGGTCTATTCTAAAGAGCAAGACATATGGGCCAGTGCCCTGTATAGACCGGATAGGTATGTTAGTCCCAGACCATGGCACATGACTTGTGATAAGGCAAAAACACAATGTGTCATTACATTAGCTCGAAGGCCTTGTGGTACGATACCAGGATGGGAAAGCTACTGTAAGAGTTA